ACATACAGCGCCACTGCATTAGAACGTACAAGAAATGAAAACAGTGAGTACGACTGATATAGATCCATTGACTTTTTATTACAAATGTACTTGATCACTTGGCTTCAAAAAAGTTTAAATCAACCCCTATTTTCTGTACGCCAGTACAAAGTAAAATCTATTTTACAAATTAAATACCTAAAAATTTGACAAAAATATTAAAGTTTGATGGAAAAAACAGGTATAAAAATCTTAAATCCCCTTTTAAGAAGGTAAGAGATAACATTCCCTCCCAACCCCCACAGTCCTGTTATACAATATTAATAGTAATTTTTTTTAGAATAGGTAGGTATGTTATATCTTGCTGTTAGCATACAAGTCACTCTAATAGCTTTATCTGTATATACTCCAGTTAGTGCATGAATGTCATCTGATTGAATATAATCAACTATCTTTAACTGATCCCTAATTTACATTTCATAGCTTGCATAGTTTGAAGGGACAAAGGTTACACTACAGCTAATCATAAAAAAAGGTGGTTACAGTGCTATTTTTAAAGGCAACAAAGTAATTGCTCCCAAAAAAAACCAAACCCAACCCAACTCAAACAAAAAAAAAACAAAAACAAAACAAAACAAAAAAGTTATCGGTCAGCTCTGAGCAGGGGTTAAACCTCCGGCAGCAGCTCTGCCCGGCTCTCAGGGTGGGCTCTGCATCCACCCGCAGCCCCTCCGCGCTTCCCACATCCCGGGACAGGCTGGGAACCGCTCTCCCGGCAGCGCTACACCCAGCACATTTCAACCCCTGCGCGGGATACGCACCAAGTGACACTGTCAAGTATTTTTATTTCCTTTCTTTTGTTGTTGTTGTTCGTTTTGTTTTGGTGTTTTTTTTTTTTTTTTTTTTTTTTTTTTTTTTTTTTTTTTTTTTTTTTTTTTTTTTTTTTTTTTTTTTTTTTTTTGATTTTCGGTTAAATTTTCCGATTTAAAACCCAAACGAGCGCTCGGCGGGAGGCTCGGGGCGCTGCCGGCATCCCGCGGCCGGGCTCCTGGATCGGCTGCGCGGATCCCGCCCGGCCAAAGCCTGGCGCTGCCGGCACCGGGGCCCGGAGGGGACCCCCGGCGGGGTCGGACCACAGTCCCCCCGGCCCCCGGCGAGCCGCCTCCCGCCGCGGGACCGCAAAGAAGAGGCAGGAATCAACAGCGGTTCGTGCTGTTTCGCGCTTTTTTATTATTATTATTATTATTATTATTATTATTATTTAAATTCTCAAAGACAGAGCAATTTAACTTTTTTTTTTTTCTCTTTTAACAAATAAAAAATAGAATTCGAATTCGGACGACGCTTCCCCGTTAGCATAAAACCACTTAAAGGGTGGTTGTTTCAATGGTAAATTACTTGACAGTGTCCCTTTAACTTAAAAATAAAATAATGTCAATATTGCAATGAATTTCAAGTTTTTCTTGCACGTAGTCATTATAAAGTAGCTTTTATCATGCTCTTGGACCTATTCTACAAGACATTTAAAAGTATATCATCAAGGAAAATATAAGGCATACTTCTCAGGAATTAGGTATCTTGGCACATTTGAGCATACTGTCTTTTTTTAAAACAACACATATGGTCAAATATACCTTTCTTCTTCTAACATTAAACAGGGTTTTCTGTACTTTGTTTTAAATACTGAGATATTAGAGCCTTGGTAAAGTACCGAGCACCGCCGGGAAAATAAAAATTAAAACAAAAAAAAAAGGAAAAAAAAAGAGAAATAAAAAATGAAAACTAAAACAACCAGGAGCAAAATCCCACGAATCTTTACAGTCATTTTAGTCTTTCGTTATCATTCATCAAGTCCTTGAACATACAGAACGTGCATTAAAAGAGGGAAAAAAACCCAAAACAAAACAAAACAAAACCAAACCCCAACGAAACACGCAGAAGAAACCCCCCCCCAAAAAAAAAAAAATAAAGAAAAAACAAAAACAAAACCAAAAACGAGACAAAAAACTGACCACAAGTTCTCGGCCACTGTTCACAGAACTGCCCACGGGGCTGTTCCAGGCTGTACTGGTTTGACTGGAACCGCGCGGCCCGTGCGCTCCTCGGGTCAGCCGGATCCTGGGCAGGATCCGGGCGGCGCGGGCGAGGAAGACCTCGGGAGCAGCCTGCCTCGCTTAGCGGTGCTCCCAGGAGCCGGGAGGGACGGAAGGACACTCCGCCGGGCTCGCCTCGCCTCGCCTCGCCTCGCCTGCCGCTACTTATTGCCGGGAACACGCCGCTGGAACTACAGGGCGCCGGAGCGCGTCCGCCGGCAGCGCGACAACTTTGGGGAGGGCAGCGAACAGCAGGACCGAGACAATCAAATCAAGTAGCAAAAACCAAAGCAATTAAATTCCTAACTACGTCTAGCAGCATGGAGAGTGCAGTCCCGACACATCACAGTTGAAGTACAATAATCGCTGGAACTGCCCATCCAGAGCCTCCGAATCAGAAGCAGGTTATCAGACACATGTTTACATGCAATTGAGAACCATTTCAAATGTCACATTACGCACTCTGAAAAAAAAGCTTATTTCACTACTGGGAAATAGGAAAAGTGCACATTAAAGCAATTTTAAACATTTCCAGTGATTGTTTAAAAAGAAACAGAAACACCTCGCTACCAGCGTCTCGTGTTTTAACTTTCTGTGAACACTAACAGCAAACTTCTTTCAAGGGCAATAATGCATGGTACAATGGAAACAGCTTGTTTTGACACTTACAGTACATCTCGAAAAAAAACCAAAAAACAAAACAAGAAGAAAAAGGGAATTATAATTTCAACTGGGAATAAAATGACAGCAGGAAATCAAATTCTTTAAAACAAGCTTTTTTTTTTTTTTTTTCGTTTTCTCCCCACCCTTCCAACACTCCATCCTTGCCCCTCGGTAAAGAAGCGCCGGCAGCTCCTGCTCTCACAGGAGCAGCTCAGCTCTACCTGGCCCCTAACTCTGCCAAGACCATTCAGCAAAATGATTGCATCCCAAAAAAAACTTCCGAGTGGAACAAAATCCTAGTTTCTCTGAAATGCTCTCCTACTGAATTCCAGCCAAGAAAAGAAAAAACAAACAAACAAACAAAAGTTTTGTTTTCACTGTTTAAGGCATCTTCTTTTTTTTTTATAACATTTTCTCTTCACTCGCAATGATGATAGTCATGCAGCAGTTTAATGATAAAAATATATTAATATTTTACTATACAGCAGCAAGAAGTTAGTCAATTAAAAGCACACCAACTTTCTTTTTTT